TTGGGGTTTATGCGCAAACGTTTTGGTAATTTTTACAGCCTGGGATAATATTCATTCCCTCTTTGAAATACCCTTTTTCAGTTTAAATCGATGAACATACGGCAGAGAAAAGACGCTGAGATTGCCTTGGAAAAATTTAACATTTGGTTAACAGTTAACTCGAAATTGCATTTTTTTCGAGTTAAGAACCAATACTGGATACAATTATAATTATCATTTACAGTGACGTTCTGACATTCGAAGAAATTGGCGTGTGTCATTTCTTACAACGACTTCTCTGTTCAACTGAAGTAAAATAATTTTACGACTTATGTTTCGTTCCATAAATTTTTGAGCTAAAATAAAACCAATATAATTTTGTTACGGAATACAAACGGCACTACTTACATTAGAACGCTTAATTTTGCACTCCTATAACAGTACAGGAGGAATAAATTTAAGGTCTGCGCAAATAATATTCAGTAGCCTGGTTTTTAGGTAATACATTTGCCAATTAATTTGTCTGTTCAAATTATAGATCAAGGTTAAATCCGACTCACTGCAAAAAGTGTTTCACACATCTGCGCAATTTTAGAAATATTGTCAGTATGGTGTGACGCAGAGACGCCTGAAAACTCGAAAAATGCCTTACGACAACCACATGCAGCGCTGTTTTTCATAATGATAAACGTGATAAAAAACACTTTAGTGATCGTTCGTAGATTTTTTCGTTTCAAAATACGTTAGTGACATTTGCAATCCATAAAACGTCTGCCGAAGCAAGGGTGATGCCTGAGAGCAGATCACCTGCCTTATTAGCGCTCTGCCGCTAGCAGTCAACATATTATTCGTTTAAAAGTTACGCATGTACATTGGCGTGCTTGTGGTTCCATCGTTCGTCTCGTATGGCCGGCATACGTACAGGGCTAATAGGCACAACAAAATCTTACTAAGGCCGTTCTTTGCAGCTACTGCCGGACTGTACACCGCAGTCCGGAGTAGTAAGGAAAAAAATCACTTAACCATGCGTTGACATGTTTTCTGGCCTCGGAAGAAAGTGTAGCGTTTGAGCGCAACCTGCGTCCTTTTAGGGGCTCATTGTTTTCAATTCCTTACAGATGCCTACACGGACACCGTCTGATGAAAGCTTTTCCAGAAATGGTTGCGAAGAGAGTCCGCCCGTCAATTCCATTCGGTCAAAATTATCTAAGTAAGTCATCGCACTGTTGTCCGTAACGTGAGTTAAAGACAAATGAGACCGGACAGAAGGCCAATCTAGTCCTAGTAAGCGGAAAACTGTTGCAACCTTGGATACAGCCAAATCATATACGACGCCTTACGAGGGCTAGGAGTAAAGGTTATCGGAGGGAGAAAATGTTTTTCCCTGCAATAACATAGGATTTAAAATACAAAGATTAGTACAAAGTAGATTTCGTTTATTAGACAATCAAATACAACTAGGTTCCCTCCATTTAATAAGACTTGATTTTCAGTGAACATGAAAGTACCTTCTAAACTGCTTCACCATTTTTCTGACGCCGGGAGAAACGGTCGCTGCGACATAAAAGTTTTTCGCCTGAAGTATCTTATTTCCTCTGAAACCCATCGCCAAGGACAGCTGAGCCGCTAAATACTATTATTTGTAGATGTCACAGACGACCTATGTAAAGATATGTGGCTGAACTTTGTAGTAAGCATACGATACGCTGAGTACTGGCGTCAACAGGCCTAGACGTATGGTTTTAGAGGTATTCCAATGTTTTCTTCCACCACTTCTGCTTCTGGTCGAATTTGCAGCAACAATAAGTTCGAGAAATAACCAGCAGTTAATAGCATGATAGGGGCTTATAGGCTGACATTCGCCGAGGGAATTTCTTACATATTTTTGTACATATACGGTAGCTGGTGTATCGTAGTGTTTGATAATTGAAAGTAAAAAACAGACTTTGGACTATAAAAGATCACTCAAGCGGTACTAAAACATTCATGTCTGTATTCGAGCAAGGTCCTTTCCGATCGTCTGCAGAATCACACCCATTAAAGATGGCCACAAAACACTGGGAACGATTCTAATTATTTTCGATAACCTTGTAAATTCAGATTTATCTTGCAGAAAATATGCAAAATATGTACTTCTAGAAACTACTCAGCTACAAATTATGTGTTCTTTTAACTTGTTTGATCGATACATGTTTTGCAAATGTTCTTAACAATGAGATGTGCAAAAACTGTGATGTTTCATCTTCATTTCCTGCCAGAGAGTAAATCAAAATTCCCGCAAGAGTACTGTCATTAAAACCCACGTTCCCCTAAATATTTGCATTATTATTTTAAATGATGGCGTTTTCATTAATCTGTCGGATTTGTCTAGATCGTTAATCAGTTCCCTCTAGCGAATGCGTAGGTGAGTTTTTCTTCGAACCTCAAAGGCGGCTTATTTGGAAGATTGAATAATCGCGGAGACCAGAGTTACTGAACTTTTTAGGTAACAGAACAATGAGGCGCCCCCATTTGTTCGGTTTGGGGGTTTTTAAATGGTCTGTGTTGTGGTAAAAAAGGATCTAAAATTGCCTAAGCTGAAAGATCCAGGGTAACCATTTAAAAACTAGAAAGAGCTTACTTATAGCGATTTATCTAACCGCTTAAATTTTGAAAAGCCTAGTAAACCAGCCAACTAACTAATCTTTAAACGCTCAAAATAGGGTCAGGTGGGCCTTGGGCCGATTAATTTTTTTTCTCCTCTGTCCTGGCATTTTGGTGGATATTTGGCGGGCATCACAACGGCGTGCCTTGTAAATTATCGTCTTGCCTTGGGTGGTTGGGTTTCTGCGGCGGTTATGCGGTCTTTCGACTGTTCTGCCCGCTGTCAGGCGAGTTCGTTTTTGGAACCGCGCTTGCGTATGATTTTTTCCAATTTCTGTTTAGACATCTTGCCCTGTTATTTGTGTACGCAATAACGTTTGATGAAAAGTACCTATGTTACTAATGATGACATCTCAATAGCACGTCTCAGGTGTTAGTTGTGGTGTCCTGGAATATCCCTGGCCCAATATCAGAAGGAAGCTGTCATTTCGAGTCTGGTCTCTCATTTGCTTGTTTGTGCTTCGGTAGGCGGTTCTGCAACTTACATAGCAGTTTTACCACAAAGATTTTATTACGTCAACAGTGATCATTAAATTAACACCTAGGTGGTGACACATCTAGCTATAAATTACCTCGTTTGCTAAACTTCAAGACGTTGATGAAAGCCAAAATGTGGGACGGTCGGGTCATTGCCATACTGCCTGGGACAATGTTTTGTGTCTGCAAGCCGTTTGTGTCCATTGATGGTCAACACAAACTTCACTCTTACCTAGAAAAAATATTCTTTCTTTACGTCACGACTGATTCCAAGACCGATATCATCATCAATTACAACCAGGTATATCTTTACCCAGGAGGTCCATGTAGATCGATGATCATATTTAAGCGTGCGTCAAATTGGCTGTCACAGTTAAACCTGCAAGTCGCTGGTCAGGGCTTACGGAATCTCTACGCACTGATAAGTAGGTAATGCATAACACTGACACCGCACTGCACCTGCGGATGGACTGTGGATTCAGCGCCGCAACAGCAAAGCGATATCGAAAACCGGAAACAGGACAAGGCGAGAACAGTTAGAGACCCGGATCCTCGATCTCCTCATCGCATGCTGCATGTTTGTCAGCCGCGCATGACGTTTATGCCGCTCTGTGTCCTGGCTGTCATACAGAAGGACCGTAAAGTCGACCAGTGATACACGCCGCTCACACCCGCCACTTCTGCTGTCTCGCGTCTTCGCTGCCTCAGATTATGCAGTCCAACATGAGGAATTCGAGGGGTTAGCAAAATAAAAATAGACTTCAGAGGTTCGATCACCCCGACTGCTCTATTTTGTCTGCCATTCAAGCGGGGTTGACGCCCTGCTTCGTAGTCATAGTAACATGCGTAAGTGAACAGACTCCCTATGTATATCAATAGGCTTCCCAGCAATACCTATAATTATTAACATTTAAAGTTAAAAATAAGGATGAACACTCAAGTTCCACACAAAAATACCAGCATATTGCAAAGATGGCAGACTGGCTTTAGGAACAAAATTCCATCGAAAGAAATATGAATTCCAAGAGGAACCTTATACAGTATACAGTTGTCCCAACACCTGTTTACAGTTTTTAGTTAAGTTCATGGTTTTTCTATTTTAGTAATAACGCGGGCGATCTCGTAGGATGGATTATAACATAAGATGAATATTTACATTTTTACTTTTCATTTAAGGATAATGAGAAAGGAAAAGTGGCGGAGTAAATACACATCGATGTGGCCTGGAAAGGGAGTCGGTCTTTACCAGCCAACCGCATAAGGGAAGAGTTCATGAAGCATAATCGTAAATTCGCTGCGGAGAATGCAATAGTAATCTTTGTTTTCAGACGTCTTCTCGCTGCGTCTTCTTGAGAAGGCAGTCTTATAAATTCACTTGCTCCTGTGGAGCGAGACACATTGGCCGCACAACGAGACGCCTGGAAAATAGAGTACGTGGACACATATCGGCCTAGTTAGGCAGTGGAGAACAGAAGTCGATTTCGCGTTCTACTGTCGCACATCTTGTCGATACGAATAACCGAGTCGATGCCAATGAAGTCTTTCAGGTTTTCTACTGGACACCAGCAAGCTTCTCCAGAGGCATTCGTTGACGGGTGCTAGCTATAATCTGGGCAGTGACTGTACGGCTAGCCAATCCGGTGCTATGTTGGCAGACGACGCTGACACAAGCGCCCTTCGGCCGTGTCTGATGCCGACCCCAGATGATGATTGCACGTCTTCCCGACCTCCTGATGGCAGCAGTGTGTGCTCAACGTACGAGATGTATAAACATCACTCACAGCCATGTCACCCCTCCCCCTCGTCCCCTTGACCCAATGACCACCTGGAGAACTGAGGTGCAATAACACCGACCGACAGGCGCATGGCGAGACCCCAAGATACGGCTTTGGCCCGATTCTATGGCCTCCCTAAGGTGCAAAAAGACGGCGCTCCTCTCCGACCCAGCGTACGGACTGGCTAAGTGGCGTCTCAAGTTCCTGACCGCTGAGTCATACACCAAGGTCTCTTCGTCAGCACAATTCCTGGAGAAACTCAAAGGGGTTAGCCTCCATCCAAATGAGGTCATGATATTTTTTGATGTTTTATCCCTCTTTACTTCTACTCCCCAGGACCTGGCAATCGAGACAATCGAGCTGCTACTACAAAGCAAATACGAGGAAGAGGAGAAACGTCTTGTACACGCGCAAATCCTTCAGCTCCTGAAGCTCTGTCTCAGAAAGTACTCCACATTCAACGTGACAATATACGAGCAAGTGAACGGCACACCAATGGGTTCCCCGATTTCGGGATTTATCGCCGAGGCCGTCCTGCAACGGTTAGATTCGCTGGTCTTCCAACACCACAAACCGAAGTTCTGGGCCCGGTATGTGGATGATACCTTCGTCGTTATTAACCGGGATCAACTGCTGACATTCAAGGAACGTCTGAATGCGGTCCTCCCGGACATACAATTTACGATGGAGGAGGAAGAGAACAACCAGCTGGCCTTCCTGGATGTCCTTGTATGCCGCAAGGATTATGGTGGACTAAAAACCAAAGTGTTCAGGAAAGCAACAAGTACGATGTAAGTACCGAACTTCAACAGCAACCACCCAATCAACCACAAACACCGATGTGTAAGGAGGCTCTTTGAGCGTATAGAAACGCACTGCAGTGATAGGGAAGACAAAATTTCCGAACTACCATACCTCCAACGTGTATTCAAAGCCAATGGCTTCTCGCGCAACTTTGTCAACCGGTGCATACGCAAAAACGACGAAAAACCTAACCGCACGGACACCAAATCTTGGCGGGCGCTTCCGTATATTAAGAATGTTTCGGATGATTTCGGCCACCTTATCGCACCACTTGGGGTTGGCGTGGCACACAGATAGGACGCAACCATCAGGCGTCCGGTAATGAAATCGAAAGACCCGCTTCCACGGATAGAATCGTCCGGAGTCGTTTATCGGATCTGGTGCAATTACGGAAATAACTACGTCGGAGAAACCGTAAGGCAGTTCCGAACGAGAATGGCCGAATACGCTGCAGCGGTGCGGAGAAATGACGTCAGCTCCCAAGTTGCGGCTCATTCGACGAGATCCAGCCACACATTCAAATTCGAAGAGGTAGAAATTCTCGCTAGAAGTGACAACTGCGTCAGCTAGGAGCTAATTGAATCATGGTTTGCTTGGTCCCAGCCCATTAACCAGTGCACTGAACTTCCCCTTCCATACTCAGTGCTAGGACTTCGTCTAGACGTGGGGAGCTCACAGGTGAACACTTTTCCCAACACCAGGGTCGGTGGGTCAGATGATCGATTAATCATCAAACCAAAACCCAACGCACGTGATGAAATCGCAGCAATTAACGACACGAACTTCGGCCATCAAACAATTAGCACATCAACTGCGACGATCCCTGATAAAGGCGGGAACCGTGAACGTTCACATGTATGGCGACAGCATGGCGACTGCATCCTATGAATACTGCAGCCTCTTGTGCATGAATCACCCGTATCTGCCGTAGTCTCTGTTGATGGGTTCGAGCAGGAATGCGAAACGTCAGGCTAATAAAACTCTTGTCCCAGCGATTGTGTCTTCTTCTTTAAGTCTACTTTGTTAAACCGGAGATTTAATCTAAGAAAAAGCGACTGTTTTTTACAGCAGTCAGTACTCGCAAGTCTCAACTCTGAGATTCGGAACATTGCTCGCCTCTGTCTGTTCGCTCTCTGTTCCTTACTGCAGAAGACGGACTGTCCCTTTTTTACGATTTTGTCACGATAACCCTAAGCAGTACAGCCCTCCTGTTTGAAACTAGCATACTTTAATTAACAAAACGATTTGTTGAGTGTCAACAAGGAATATTTTTCAGCAAATATTGTATTCACAATAACTAATATAAGTTGTATGCGGACTGGCGACGACTTCGTCTGTATCTCAGACAACCTGTATTGCCAATAGAAGCGAAAATTGGATATTCGGTAATCAGTTTGAAATAAAGTAATCTGATTGCTGGAAAAAGACGTTTACGCACCTATAGTTTCGGACTCCATCGTCGGAGCTATGTGCAGAATCTTCAACTGTTATGGGTCTCTGTGAGAAACCTACATATCAGACGAGTAAAGGACTTGCTTCTTCACCATTCTCTCATGAACAACCTGATGTTTCAGTAAGGTATATTATTAAGCTTTTAGTCGGAAAATAACGTTCGAAAACTGCAAAGGCTGTTCACTGGATAGCGTTCAATCTCGTACTTTCCGCAAACTTCAAGTTGTTTGGTCTTCTCGAATGCAAGGCCGCATAATTAACTTAGTTTTTTTGTCCGCTTTACTTTAATGTTTCTGTTTACCATCGAGCCCAGTTGTGGACTAAAAATATTTTCCATCCCCCGTTTACGCATGGTCGATGTGAACGGAATATGGCGCAGATATATCAGGTTATGCCCGCGACTGCTTCAGTGGTCTACGCACTGGAACTAGATTCAAGCTGCAAGAGGCATGTACATTAGGCCTAAACTGGGATAAGAGACAGCTGTGAGAGACATTGTTAAGATATTTCGGAGTGAGGGAAACAAAGAAGGGAACTGCAATAACAAGGAGCCGGTACAGCCAAATATGGACAAGACTTGTTTGCTGGAGGCGGCGAGTGTGTCCGTAATGAAGTTGAAACAAAAGCCTGCCGAAGGGGTTCTATTTCTAGAAAGCCCTAAACGTTCTACTGAAGCAGCCGGGCATGCTATAGCACTGTTTAGTGGTTGCATTTCTTGCCCACAGCAGACGGCAGTGCGCAATGCAGTACTTCGTTGCAAAAAGCCAGCTAAAAGTCATAAGACATAGAGGTCTTATTTAGAACTTTTTTGTTTGTCAGTACCGAAAGTACGCCGCATAAATAGAACAAAGAATGGAGCCACGATGTAACCGACGAAAACTAATGGCTTTTCAAATGAGTTAGCTGCTGACTGCTGACGGCAAAATCATTGTAGTACACATGATTTGCTTTAGAAACGAAATATATTCGTCCAGAAAAGTCCATTAATTAGCTGTCCCACACTGTCTATTAAACAAAAACATATTGTCTCATTAGTGCTAAAGGTATTTTGTCAGAACAAAAAGTATGTGCGTCTCCCCGATCGCGCATATAGCGGTTATTTGGTGTGATCAACCATTTTAGCCGAAGTAAACTCGTATCGTTGACCATATGCATAGTGGTAGGTCAGTTTTGTTCAACCGAGCAAAATAGATTGAAGTAACGGGGGAATTAAATATATACATCTGGTCTGTTGCATTTATAGCGATCTGCACATGCTGTATATAATATGTAATTAGACAGGTGTCTGATAATACGGTGGTTAATTTATTTTGAAAGATAACGAAGCTAAAAGGAAGTAAGCAACAGTGTAAGTTTGACTGTCAAAATTTATTTTTTTATTTTTACTGATGCTTCCAAGCAGTCCGGTGCGGTAAATATGTCTTGTAAGATTAGCAGTTAGAGACGCGCCTGAGAAACTCAGTTAACTAATTAACAGGCACACAATTTTTTCCACGAAAGCTTGTCACATTGCTAGAGTCATGTGACAGCGCAGACGAGTAAAATATGTGAATGATAGGAAGAAAAGATTTACGGTCATTTTTACACAAAAATGAGATGTTTTTAAGAAAACCCATGTGCAGGTGTCGAAGAGACAGGAAAAACCCAATCAAAGTAGCCTGTTAAAATCATATGGAGACGCCCTGACCAAACCGTTTCACCAAGATTTCAGACAGTAAGCATTCGAAAACTATTCCGGATAAACCCTATGTGGCACACTAGAGGTGAGGAGAGATTGTCAAATGTCGTGGAACAGGTCATATTGGACACATAATTAGTCCCTATTTGAATTAATTTGTAAACACCTGCTAATGGAAGCGAAGGGACGAGTCCCAGGAAGCAGTTTTGAATCCGAATCGTCAGACTCATAAAGCTCTTTTTCCGGCGATCGTGTGTTCTTCTTCATGTAAACACCCCCTATCAACGCGATCTGGCCCTCTAGTCCTCACGTACATCCGGTTAAATACTTCCACCCTTGTGTTTACGAACGTCTCAGAACATACAATAGTATTTTAAATACAGAACGCAGTTTTATACGACTGGCTAAATGTAGCGAATCATTTAAAGATGAGAAACAACCAAAATTCAAATGCTCTTATGCTTTTCTTATTCTCAGATGATGTTCTTTAAATTCAAAAACCGGCGAAAAGAAATTTAAAATCACGGGCAGTCGCGCAAAACAGGCAAGAGATAACGGTTACTTCAGAATGCTCCTGAGGAATGCATTTTTACAATACTTTCAAGAAAAACCGCAGAATACATGCACATATAACAAAAGTCATTATTTCAAGTACACATTTAACAAGAAGTGATGTTCGGAAAGCCTGCTCTAAAACTTGGCTACTGAGAGATTCATACAAATTCAGCATGTGGTCGTAGACAAATTTTTTTGAAAAAAATGTGCAAAAGCCTGCTGCATCCCTTTTCACCAAAAATACCATTTTAAATTATAGCCATTGTTTCGTAAAGACTTCCAGACAACCTATGTTAGTCAAGTTAGACTCTTCTTAAAGCAGGCCTAGAGGTTATCTTTCAATTTGTTAATTTAATTGTCTTCGTGGAGCATGACGCCATTGCGGCAGGTGAGGCGTCCCATTTATTCGTAGGGTGGACAGTTGGTTTGATCACAGAAAAAGTCAGATTCGAAAGCAGAACGCGCCTGTTACTCGCGTTAGCCGGACCATCGTTCTTACAGTAGACAAGCAGCAACAGCCTACTGGCCTTTGACTCCAGGCGTTATCATGTTATTGCAGAAGTTATTTCAAATCGAGCATTTGGATCTGGGGTTTGTACAGTCAGTGAAATACTCTAATTTCATACACGTAATTAACATTTGAATCAAATCAGAACACTCTCGTAGTCAACCATGTCTATTTCAGTCTCCATATCTTACAGCCAAAACATGAAATTCACAAGTTTTCTTTTTGTCGGGTAAAACAAAGACGAGGCGTTTTTCGAAACGGACGGTTCCTCCAGAAATTGATCGTTCGCACATTATCCTCATGGATTTGCAAATGAATAACATTTAACGGGTTTTATATTAAAACGTTAAATTAGTAAAATCTTGCCTCTTTCAAATTTCAAGAGGCCGAAATCCTCGCAAGGGGTGACAACCGCGTGAGCCGCGAGCTGCTCGAGTCATGGTTCTCAGGCCCGCAATCCATCAACAAACACAATGACCTCCCGGTGGCCTATTCCGTATTGCGATTTTCCCTGGGCAGGAGAATCAGTCACGTGGGGAGGGCGCGGGTGAGCAATTATCACGGTGACAGTGAGCCAGTTTGCCGAGCAATCGTCACACCAGCATTGAGCACGGATGACAAAATCGCGGCAGTTAACAACTCGGACTCGGACCGCCAAGCCACCGCCGCATCAATTACGACCCCAGCGGCGATTGTGAGAACTGTTAATTGCAGTGCGCATACGGTCCCACGGCAGCCACGTGCTATAAATACTGCATTCCTGGTGCCACCTTTACCTCTATCTGCGAATGTCTCTGATGATGGGCTCGAGTGAGAACCCGAAACGTCAGGCCAATAAACTTCTTGTCCCAGTGATCGCATCTTCATCTTCTGAACTGCTACCTGGGACTCGCCTGTTCGCTTCTATCAACAAAAGAACAATGCATGGACATGATGTCTGGTTGTTTGGTGGGTCGATTTATTCCCGCTTGCGTACTGCAGAGAATTAAAATAATGTCAGTCTATGTCACACTGCGCTGGATGTGTGCTCACGCAACCTTCGTCCATGCAAATCACACACCGAAAGTATATCAAAAACAAATGGGATTTGTTTGTTTCGTGTCTGGCTGAGTTGAACTGCAGTAAACATCCGGCAAGCACAAAAATGCCGCATTCACGCATGCGAATAACGCTTTTATATGCAGTCAAAAAACTGCCGGTGGTAATAACAAAATTTATCCTTGCTCCTAAAAGTTAGTCTGTTTATTTTAGGAAAGCAGTCCAGGCGATAATCAGCATGGTGAATTTTAAAGACCCTAACCGCTTATTAGGATTACTGTTTACCATGAAGTGTTCTGTCGGCATTGTTAAGGTCAGTGGCGCTAACACGTGCAACGCAAGTTGACACTAAATATTTTCATAATCATATAGACTGGGTTCCACAGCCTAAGCAAACTGGCGTTTTATGATTACACATCAATGTAACCCAAATATGCACATGCTGTTTAGTGCGAATATTTATGTCTAACCTGCCAGAGTAAGAAATTGGTAGAAGAAACGTTCTCAATTAAATGTAAGAAATTTATTATTAATGCCTCGTCTTATCTAGTAATGTTGGAAAAAATTGACAACTAGATTTTCATCTAATTCGTTAGAATTTTAATTGCTTCAAGGTATATTGTCTTGCATTTTTATGTTTTTTATAAATCAGGGACTGTGTCGGATAAGCAAATCGTTCGATAGGTCACAAGACAGGAATTCCTCCAGACTTGATCTTAAAATTGTACGTTCGCAAAAAAATGCGTGAAGGGTTTCACCGCCTACTGACACATTCCATGCCATAAGCCATCGGCGAAAAGAAATCAATGATGGGTTGGCGGAAAATTCCAAATAACGGCAAAGACCTGTATGGTCGTATGCGTCTAAGGGAACATTTGCAATAAAACACCACATCCCAAAATTCATCATCACACTTCGCCTCCTACAGTCCCTTAGATATAAGTTCGCCCAGCTCACCCACCGGCTACACAAAAAAGTACCTCTTACATTTACCTTACTGCACTGCGGTTTACCCGGGAGGTTATAAGATTACGGCATTACTCGCTCTACATCATCAGTCATCTGCGTTTGTTTGAATTCGTCAACAGGTGAACCGAAATTGTTCCCTCTTAGTGTGGCCTCTATAGCATCGTCGTTTGGATGGAATTCCAGTCGCCCCTCTCTCATTCTTTCAAACCCGTATTTGAACTCACGTCAGGTCGTGTGTGGCACAGGTAGACAGGTTATTAAATTCTGTCGGCCACTGCGCCAGAACTCGCCTTTGATTGCCTCAACTTTTTCTTGACAGCTGCATCGAGAAGGATGACTGAGAAGAGAGTGCAGTTAGTGCTTCGCAAGACGGCTATTATTGTGAACTTGTTCGCAAGCCAGTCGATGTCCTTGTGTGCGCCATATTTAAGGGCGCACGGTAGGCAACATCGTTCGCGATTTTAAGTCTATCGGTTGCTTTCACGTTCGGTTGGCCCGGCAAATCGATGAATTAGATCCTCCGCTTGTCGTTTGCTGTGCGAAGACTTCTAGACATCTGAGCATTTAAGTTACGCAAACCACTTTGAACAACTGATGCGTCATTCAGATTTCGCAGCCAAACTGAACGGCTAATATAAAAAGCCATAGCCGTTAGCTCGCATAAAGTAATTTTGACAAGAAATTTATGCATAGTCAAACGGACAGGGAATTCCTTTAGACTGGACATGATTCAAAGAGTTAGCGCAGTTTATTTATTAAAAACACGGTGTGGCAGATTTGAAGTATGTGTTCTATCCACTGTTTGGATAACTCTAACAAGAAAGGGGACAATAACAAAAGGATTTCAGAGGATACTATTTTTACGTTTGTCAATTCTGCTTATTTTGTTTCATTTCTTTAAGAACTCTATAAATATTTGAATTGAATTTATAAAACACTTTCGAGGTGTTGAGAGCAACCACTTGCAGTTCCTATAGCAAAATGCATTTACCAACAATGCCACTCGTCGCCAATTCGTTTGTGACTAGGTACATACAGTTTGGCCAGCTTATAAGCAGACCTTATGACAACAAAATAGGATAAAAATGTATCGACTGTTTGCCATTTTATTCAGTCTTTGACTCACGTGGCATTGTTTTGTCCGACAGCAACGATGACACCTATCTTTGCGTGGAGGACTCCAGCCGCCTTAAAACCATCGCTGACGTAAGGAAACGTCTCTCCCTGGGGAACATTAAAGGATTTTAATGGTTCCAATGCCCAGAGGCATGGGAGGTCTGCGGACAAAGATCAAGGCTTCAGCTAGCTCAGTGGTGATGCTGGTGCTAATGCTGATGCTGATGCAGATGATGATGATGATGATGGTGATGATGATGATGATGACGGTGATGGTGATGACGATGCTGATGATGATGGTGGTGGTGGTGGTGGTAATGATGATGATGATGACGATGATGATGATGATGATGATGATGATGATGATGATGATGGTGATGATGATGATGGTGGTGGTGGTGGTGGGGGTGGTGATGATGATGATGATGATGATGACAGTGGTTGTGTTGATGTTGCGATAATGTCCATGACGACGATGCTGTGATAGGCAAAAGTACCAAAGTTTACCCTTACCCCATAATCTTACACACTGGTAATTGAACTGTCAGATGCTTCAATTTTTAGATTTCTATGAAAATAATGACAATTAAATGCGCTCCTTCTGTTAAAACAGATAAATTGGATTTCGGACTCGGCACTTCTGTTAAACCTTCTGAAGAACGTGTACTTGATAAAAAATGACTACTTGTGTGGCATGTACTTTTGTCTATTGATTTGCGGTAGCCTTGCAAATTCAAATATAGGTTATAGAAACCATTAACAAAAATGTGCTTTTACTTAGTCGTTTAATGGAGATTTACCATTAAATTTTATATCCGAAGAAGAAGTATAATTAGGCTTTGAAATAGGATTCGAATTGCCAATAATTTGGAGCTTGGCCATTTGCTGCACTAGCGCTTAGCAATTTCAGCCTACAAAGTGCATGCGTTGCGCTTAAAGAAAATCACATATCTTCCCATGCCTTTATAAAAATATCCTACAGACTCCATAAAATTTTGGAGTGAAAGCGGACCATGTTGTACATTTCATGGGGAGTTGTGGTAAGCGGACAAGTACTATGTTATGTGAATGGATATTGCGCGGTCTTAAAAAATCCATTTATGCTTCTTTTCTGAATATAAAGAAGACGTAATTTTCTATCAAACGACTAAGTAAAATCATATTTTTTATGGTTTCTAAAACATATATTTGGATTTGCAAGACTACCGGAAATTAATAGGAAAAAGTGCATGCCACATAAGTAGTCATATTTATCAAGAACACTTACTTCGGGAGGTTAAAAAGAAGTGTATTTTAAGGCTGACATCATGCCATGTCTGAAAAATAATAAGATTTTGCCGCAAAATAATCAGAATAACAACCGCCCCCAGGTTATTCTTCCCAATAGAAAACGCATTTCAGAAAATTAAGCCAACATTTCATTAGATCGGTCACTCAATGTAGGTCTTTAAGGATTTACTTTATGGTCGTTCATTAATTTCCCCGGAACTTAACAAAGGCAATGTGCAAGTTTTCCACAACGGACTACAGCCAAACAGACTATGTTTTCATTTTACAAGGCAATTTTTTGTCCATGCCGACGATATTACGTTCGCCGTATTAAAATGATTCGCAAAAATTGCATTGATGTCCGAGTGAAGAGTTAAATGAAATTACAGCTGCGGCATTTTAGATTGTCTACAGGCAATTCTGAAAGACCACTTCTTGGTTTTTTGACGATCGTGTTAGCAATTTTTATGGAGGCAAGACTGCTTTAGACATACTACAACCCGCTATCCATGAATATTTTATCCTTTTAAGGACCCGATCATAAGTAGCAAAGTGATATTTTGATATAAGACGTAACTAAGACCAAACATATGCACGTTTAGGGTGCTTAAACGACAACGCTGATAGTCGCGTGCTGTCATAACGAGCATAATGTGTGAGCGGATGCATAGAGGTCAGCGTAGATCTATAGCCAACTGCATGTGCGATACTCGCGAATGGGTTTTTTGGATGATTTTATGCTGTAAATACAACACGTCATATTAAAGCATTGTTCGATAACAGCGTTCTCATCAGAACTGGAGAAGTTATGATTTTTGCCAATATCCCCGGGAACTAACGAGAATTGTCCTTAGATGTGCCAAATTTCTTGTTTCCTAGACGTTGGGCAGATAAGAAGAATACTCCGTCAGTCAAACGTTTATATGCCGGATAGGATTAATAATCAGCATACGATTCACTGATTGGATTGTATTTTCCAGGATTTATTAAAAGATCAAATCATATAAACCTGACAAACATGCGTTTACTTCCCTGCTTCTTATTTCTTGCCTCGAAAGGCTAAACAACAGTCCTCATTTCATCTTGTGAGAGTTTATAGTCAAAGCACGGCAGTCATCGTGCACAACTCGTTCGCTATGAGAGAACATTTCCTTTGTTTTCTTCTACATCTCTTCATAAAACATATTTCTTTATCACTTGTATCCGGTAAAAATTAATTAGTGAATTCTGGGTGCAGAAGAATAGGGCGTAGGAATACTGGCTGGTCGTTTAACGGGATAATTTTACTGCCTGCCTGTTGGAGAAGTCTAAAATTATGTGAGCACATGCCTAATGCGCTAAATGCCGCAGCTCGATCAAAAACAAAAGGGATTTGTTTGTATCGCGTCTGGTTGCGTGATACTACCAGTAAACCTCCGGCAGGCGGAAAATTCTAACTGTCATTGGGAGCAGAGAATTGCAGTCGAAAACGACCTACAACGCAGCCACTGATGTTAATGATAGTCATAAATGAAGAGCTTCTATCTATACGTCGCAATCACTTCTAACGCAAACAATGCTCGTCTTCTTAGGATGGTAGAGCCTACTTCAGGTAAAGTCTTCCGGAAACGTTTAATGTTTGAACAATGTTGACTTCTTTCGTAGGTTTGGGTATAGAATTGTGTTTTATCATTTCCGAGCTTATGTAAAATTTGGCTTTTGCCGGCTTACTGGCCACCTTAGGAATGCTCGCATATTAGACTCCGTCTCCCCGGATATTTCCTTAGTTTTTTCATTAATATCTTTTGTTACCGAATATCAGTATGTAGCTGCTATTCAAAGGGTTCCGTTGGACAGCTTTGGTTATATATTTTCATAGCCTATGTGCCGAAGCTAAATATATAATAAAATAACTTCCCCACAATGCGTACTTCCGAAGTTAAAATATTCGAAAAACCTGTTTTTATGCTGTAAATGTTCCTGCGAGTGAAATATAGTGACGGCTTCCACTGCCCCGGACAGATGCCCGAAGGCAGGCCGCGAACGACTGTAGACCTGGTTGTTTTGCATCTGGTTGTGAGAGACTTTCGGTAAACATCCGCCATCAGCAAATTGTTTTCGCAATCTGCGAGGGCCAGCTGACCAATGACATCACTGACAGTCACCTGAAGGTCTGCAGTACCTCTACCTTATCCTTTCTGATTTAGACACGAGTTGTCACTTGACAGGCCGACACCTACCTCAGAAAAATACTGTTCAAGCGACATAACCCTAGTCGACATAGACAATTTCATGGAGTCTAATGGGTTCTTTATTTAACGAGTATAGAATTTTGTTATACCGTTCCATGGGATTACTGTTAGCTGTAAAGTGACTTGTCGCCAAAGCTGGACTCGGCGAGGCCTGGGTGTGGCGCGCCTGTTAGCATGCTGTATTTTTAGGATCGTAAAGCCTTGATGCATCGCCGTATGGGAGACATGAGTTTGACGAGCTAACACCGACGGACGGCTTGTGCATAAAATGGCAAAAGGAATAGCATCCAATATAAATCTCCGTTCCATAATACCGTCTATGTTTGAAATTTGGACACTCGAACTAACCTTAATCGCAATTAATTTTGTGAAAAATTGCATATTTTGTATAGAGTTTAGTGTAGGCCCTATGTCGTACCTCATCAGAGCCATGGGCCATGTCGGATAGGCAACTCATTCAGATGGCTTGCTAGTTGCCACTGATCACTCCCCGAGCGCACAAACTGTTGACGTCATAGACTTCAGCTGAAGGGTTAGCGTTTACTGAGGCGTCTGCAGGCACATGGCATACGAGAAGGATAAATCGGAAAATTCCCGACAACAAATTGTTGGAATGTCCGACAAGTTCGTATGCCTTCTAATTATTCGACATTTTATAATGTGGCAGTCTTTTTTGCGCATTTGAGTAATATATAAACTTGCTAGTTTAGTCAAGTGCGCGCAGATTACGTTTATAATTTCTCATTTAAATTTACGTCCAATTATTTACAACTTAAAGAAGATGAACCGTCTGGCCGGTTAAAAAGGAACATTTCTCACATATTTTTTCCGAGTTTGATAGATGAATCAAAGCGTTAGGGGTCGTCAAAAGGAATTTTGCTGTATACAGGAAACGTACTTTTTTCATACGAACACGAGGCGATTTGTATATAATGTACGATCCGCGCCATAGAAGGAAGTCAGCATACGTCAAATATCGTGCCATTGCTTTGATCAACGAGGGCCCTCCATCAAACAATTTCTAAATTGGTCAGAAAGATGAAGTGCAGCAAATAAGCAGTAAGTTGACATCCATAATCGATAGGAAAGGTTCAAAGATTTAGCTTTTGGCCTCCGTACACTAACATTGAAGACAACAAGGATCAGGGTGCAACTGTTTGGGCCTCGCCGGTTGCCTCGTCTGTCAAAAACGGAAACCAGCTTTGAAGCTAATAATTACTGGCGGTGAAAATTAGTGCTTTTACGCGAATATGAAACAAGTGGAAAATGACTGGCTCCTAATAAACATGCACTACTTGGAACCAAGCCTGTTCTTCATCTTTTTAAGAGTATGCTGTGTGCCTAGTAGAATATGATAGGAATGGGGTTTTGTGAATTGCCAGAAGCGAACCATCTCCTTTGTGTAGAGCTCTACAGTCCACAGCTTTGCCGTCCAGATATAAAATTTAACAAAAACGCCCAACTCCTCAAAATGGAATCATTTATGAGTTATGCCACGCCAGACACACATCACAAATTTCATCAAAAATCTCGTTTGAGTATGGCTGAGTGGTTCATTTGTATATGTTTTATTCTCCGAGCTTTGCTCCTTTGGGTTGCCATTGCTTGGGATGCTTAAAAACAATGTAAAGGGAGCATACTTCAATAACCACGTGCATCTTCAAATCTGGATAGTAGATGGTTTGCGTCAAAACTCGCGAATTTCTCCGAACGCGGGTTTCAAAATTTCCCTAAGACCTTGGAAGGATGTTGTGACCGAAGAGTGCAGATGACGAAGAAATGGTTAGTTTTGTGAGTTATAAATGAGTGAATATGATAAGATTTCGAATAGCTGAAAAGCCCACAAACTTATAGAACAACGCAAGCAAACACCTAAATAGTTCAGTTTAATTTTGTTCAACACACTACCTTTTGCAAACTTTACCCACAACCGCCTCCCCACCCAACGAGCCCTAGATAGATGTGTTGGTCTTGTGACTTTTGA